CATTTCGGTCGAATATTTTCATCTGTTTTTAATGTACCTTCATATTGAGAATTCAAGGTAAGGCTTTTCAAATCTTATATATGTGTAAGTGGAAATATTCCAAGAGACTAATAAGAACGAATAAAATTTACTAACTGGCCTGTTCACAATTCATCATTAGATTCATTTTAGTTTATCATCAAATATATTAGCAGAATTAATTTCTGTCTGGATTTTACAGGAAAATTATAATCTGCTATGGTTGTATATTCATTAATGGATTGCAATATTCAGAATGTGTGACTTACTGCAGGCACTCTAAGACCAATTTTCGCCTTATCATCTTGAGAGATGACAATTAAAATATCGGCAAAAGTGCTAGCGAATTGCTTTGCATATTTTACCGATGTAAGGCAATAGTGACTATTAGTATGTTCACGTATTTTAATATGTAAAATTTTGGTAATAGCAACCTATATCAGATGGTGATGTGCTTTCGCGATGATTGAATTTGCTTAATGAGGTAATAAGTAATTATTTAAGGTAGTTCTCACCATATAGATATTATATTTTTCTTTAAGATTTTTGCATAGATTTTCTATTATCCAGACTTTAATAGCTTCTTTTCATCGTTTTGTATCTGCTGATCCAAATTTTATACAATCATATATACGGTTATGCAAATCCAGATAGTTGAAGAGAAATGAGTACTTTTCAGGTTTATCATAATGGATAATCTCCTGATTTTTGATAAGTAGTTTTAGTTTTTTTTCTCTGTAATTTTGAGTATATTTGGCATTTTTTTTTAACTTGGTAATTTTATCTTTATTAGATTTAATTTCATTCTGTAAGTTTTCTATTTTTTGATACATGTCATTACGAATTTAAGCATCACTAGTGATATTGTAAATTTGCTCAAATTTGTGAAGCTTTTTTTCAGCTTAAATAAAATAGCTTTTTGCTCAAATTGTAAATTAACTCTCTTTTAAGTTTATAATTCTTGTAAGTTTCAAGTAATAAATAAGAAATAATTTTAAAATATAATTACTTTTTCTTTCTACATGTCTATCATATAGGATTTGATCATAAACTATTACACTAACTTACTTTTGAATTTGTCATTTAGAATAAATAAATTCTCTAAGTTTTCAATAAACTTCTAAACTTTTAAGTTCATAAAATTATCTGGCGTAATTCTAAGAAATATTAGATACCTGTAAGATATTTAATTATCTAAAGTTGTAAAGTTTAATAATAAGAAACTTATTTGTCATAGTAAAGAAACTTAACTGAATATGCATAATAATAAAATGATTTTATTTAATTTAAGTTTTATTATTGAATATCATGAATTTATTTTAATTATATAAATATATGATATATGATAAAATATAACATAAACTTTTTACATAGGAAAAGAATGAATATGAAAGCAAAAGTATTAGCGGTATAATTAGCAACTCTTAATACAGGTAAAAAGTAAAAATGCAAAAATATTATTGAATAATTTGAAAATAATATACATTTGAAGGTGAATATTATCTTTTATTATCAATTTGTTAGTAAGATAAATATGAAAGAATACATATTATTTATTATGAATAATTAGATAATCAAACTCCTTAATTTAAAGACTAAGAAAATAATATCAAGAATATATTTTTTTCTAACATAGAATAGTAAATCAAATTATAAGAGAGTATATGTTACAAGTATTTTGATGATTTCTATTAGATAAATTTAATTTATAATCAGGAATAATATATACCCTTAGAATATAATTTATAAAATATTAACATTTTAAAAAATATTAAAAAAATACTTTTAACCATTAAAGGGATGATAAGCTACCAATTTTTCTTAATAACTATATAAAAAAAATATATTTTTTTAATTTATAATAAAAGTTAAAAACTATATAATAGTATAAATACTAAATCTTATTAATTATTTTTTTTTATATTTAACTTCTTGATAAAACTTCTTGATAAAATGCAAATATTAAATAACTTTTTGAAAAAGCTTACATTAAAAATAAATATAATATTTATATTTTTTAAGAAACTTGAACCTTATTTAAATTTAATAATATTAAATTAATTATATATAAATTTTAAATTTAAATAATAATTTTTAAGCAACGTTGAGTATAAATTTTTTTATTTACATAAGATGATAATTAAGTGAGTGTAACCCCATAAATTCCATTCAACGACTTTCAAGAACTTGAATCTCTTGAAATTAATTATTCTTGCTACTGTATATAGACCTAATTATAGTATTTTCATATTAAGCAATCGACATGATGTTTATTACAAGTTATATTGTAGTCATACAACCGATCATTTCTTCTGTTTGTGAAATAATTGTCAGCACAATAAACAATATGATTTTTAAATTAAAACGTAATTAATTAATTTCACATTTATCTCATTTTAAGAAATCATCGAGGATTCTTTGTCATCTTCATTATAATATTTTTTTAACAATCCATTGTTTCCAATATGCAGAGTAAATTAAGACGAAATCCCATCTTTCCCAATCTTTATTAATTTTTTTAATCGCAGGGTACTTCTTTTTTTGTTACTCTTTTTTAATTGAAAATCATATTTCCGCACTGGGGACACATATTGTCTTTTGTACATTTATGTTTTTCACACCAAACGGATATGTAAGGATTTCCAAATTTTTAAACATGGTTCTACTTACTTAACTTTTAAGAATTATATTTTAGGTCTTTATTTTATTATAAATCAAAGTGAAGGTTGATGAAATTTTTTTGAATACACAAGATACTTTTTTGCTTTGTAATTCGAATTTAAGGTGACTACTTTGATCATTATTTTTCGTCGAATGTAATAAATAACATACGCAGTTCCAAACCTTTTTATTTATGTTAAATTAATTTCTTTAATTCAAGTCAATTGATTTAGATAATTACAAAAAAGAATGTCAAATAAATTTTGTATTGGAAAATTTTCAATTATGATGATCTAACGCTAATTGATATTCCTAATCTAAAAATCGTACGTTTTAAAAAAAAAATTCAAGGACGCAATAAAATAGATAAAAATAGTAATAAATCTAATTGCATAAACCCGAAGTTCATGCGGTTACAAAAACGATTCATTATAGAAAATTAAAAGATGAGGAAAAAAAAATGAGTTTTTTAACCAAAACTGGGTTCAATATATCGGATCGTTATTTAGGCAGTTCAATAATGCCTAATAGTGACTGATAGCTTTTGATTCAAAAAATGAAAGATAAGGACAAAAACAATAGATTTTTAAAAAAATTGTTTTTTTTTTTAAAAAAAAAAAAAAAAGAACAAACCTAATTAGACAAAGAATTAGAAGGATAATATGCAATATGTTATAGATTCATGTTTAATCTAATGATTACAAAAAAAAAAAAGAAGACAAAAAAAAAAGAATCCAAAGTTTATTATTGTCATACGCAAGGGGGAGTAATTAATTTACACTTTCAAGAACAATAAATTCGGTTAATTTTTTTTAGTTATCTCAAAATATACAATATTTATTTTAGATTTCGGATGCTGCTTTTTGTTTATATTTTAATGAAACAATAAACGAAACCTGTAAATATGTAATTTAATAAAATAAATTAAATAAAAATTAGAATCATATTTACAAATTTATCGAACGATTAGTGATTACGTTTAACTTACAAATAAAATTTTTAATAAACATTATTTATAAACTTTTAAATTAAAAATTAAAGGAATGTTCGAATTGTTTGAAGAATCTTTATTTTTTGTAATTCAATGAATCATTCAACAAAATAGACGTGTATCTATTGTTCTTTTAAAGAAGGAAAGGTTACCTTTATTAATGATCGGGACCAACTTTTTTTTAATTTTAAGTTCGCCAAAAATTTTATTAAAAAAAATAAAAATTACGTTCCCAATTGGTTCATTTCAAATGTTGTGATTTCAGTTTTATGAATCCAAAAAAATTAATTTATTTGATTATCAATTAATGAAGCGTCTGCTGGCACGAAAACCTCAAACGTTCTCATGCAAACAAAAAAAAAAAAAGATTCTTTTTTTTCTTCTCACTTCTCAAGTTAATATATTCGGCTTTCTTCTTACACTTCTCATACTTCTTAAAACTTTCACCTTGCTCCAAATAATTCAACAAGAATACATGAATCTAAATTAAATGTGAATGAACCCATATTCATATTTCAAAAATGAAGAATAATGTTGTTTTATTAAATAAATTCACACAAATATAATTACATAATAAAAATTGATTAAATGTTGAATCTTAAATCTCATCAATGAATTACGAATGAAATATTTTCTTAAAAAAAATGTAAACAGAAGTTTTTAGAGAAAAATGACCAATCATATAATAGTGTGAGAAAAAGGAAATGAAACAAATAAACAAAAAAAAATGTGAAAATGAAAATAAAAGATTGAAGTGAAATTATTATATTAGTTGTTTGCACTATCAAGAAAAGAGTGTGTAAATTTTCGGGTATAAAAAAAATAATTACAATAAACAAATTTTTTTTTTTTTTTTTTTTTTTTTTTTTTTTACATTACGACAATTGAATAAAAAATCATTTATGAATCAAACAAAGGATAATGATGATGGAATAAAATCTAGAACAAAGAAAGGGGAATTGTATAAATGACAATTTATGTTGTATAAGAAAATAAACGCAAATAAAATAACTATGTACATTACGCACAAAATGAGAATGTATTAACAAGTTTCAGGGCATACGAAACGAAAATAAAAAAGTAAATATATACGAAATAAATTTATAGATAAACGATAAAAGCTAAATTGTGTGCTTAATTAATATCTACAAAAAGAAAAATTATAATAATATAATAAAAAAAATTCCTATTTTACAAAATGAACATCTGACGATATATAATATTAATTATTTCATAAAGAAATAAAATAAAAATAAAATGTTTTTTTTTGTGCGCTAAAATATAAAAAAAATTTTTACATTAAAATATAATTATAATAATATCGATCCTTTTAAAAGTAATCGAAATTCACAGGGCCGGCATCCTCAAGACATATAATAATTTCAGTATGCTCAATTCCAGTAATTACTTCTCGGACCAAATCATCCGGCATGTATTCCAATACCCCATCCGCAGCTCTAATCACAAACTGTTTACCAACTGGAGGTGGTACTTTAATTGCGAATGAGAGAAGCGAAGAAAACGTTGTAGTATCTGAAACTGCGATTTTTTGTTTGTATATCTTAGCCTTTGAGCGAACAGTGACCGATTTTAGCACATGAGATTCTAAACCAATAGCAATCAATATTATTAATTGAAGATGCAACTTTTTATAATGCACTAATTAAATTCATGGTTATGAAGTAATCAAAGTTTTACATTCTTAAATACATACCAAGAGAGCTTTGAATTGGTTGTGGAGAGGACGGGCGACTTGGAAATATTGGTTCTGGACTAGCATGGAAACGTCTTTGGGAAGGGTTTACTATAATTAAATAAAATAGCGATTGTGAATAACATGCATTCCTTTATTATACAAAATGGGAAAGTGATGTGGTTTTTTGGTAATGTATGAGGTTTTGTATGGGGGAAAAAAATAGGAACGCGGCTCCAACAACTTTTATTTAAAAGTTATTGTTTTGTTAAAAAGAAAATAATAAAAAAAATTAATATACCTATTGGAATTTTCCGATACACGATTAGTTGAACTTCATTTCCAAATTCGTTAAACTTTGACCAAAATTGAACAAAGGATGAGATTCCGTTTAAGCTAAAGTGATTGGCATCTTCGCGTGCTTCCACTCTATAATGGAGCTTTAAATCGACATCACCCCATGATTTAGGAAAGTCTGCGGAGGACACATTAGAATACAGTTGACGAAGATTTTCCGTCGGATTAGGGGAGTTTAGGTTGTCCAGAAAAACTTTGCCGCATTGATCCAGTACAGCGAAAGGGATGGACGAAGCATCAAAGCAGACCACATGTATCATCTTTTTGGAATTCTTTTCTTGTCCTAATATCAGATGAATATCGGTTGATTTGTTGGTTAGTAAGTCTCAAAAAAAAAAAAAAATCAAAAAAAATTGTCGATAAATTATGAAATTTTATTACCGTCAATAGACAAAACTCCATCAAAGTCATCGTTCATTGTATCATCTTCATCGATTGTAAATAAGTTTTCCGTTTTAACGTTAGCATCAGTTGATGAAGTAAAATTAGAATCCAAAGAATTCGAAAAGGGATTAGAATGTTGCGAAATTGCAGAATTTACTAAAGTAGGTTGTTGAGGTTGGTTTGAAGAGATGATTAAGACATTTCCGGTCTTTAGGGATATCTCGTCTTCATAATTTCTTAATTCGTCCAAAGCTTTTTTGATGATTGGACCAAATACATGTCCGTCCCAACCAAAACCAAGTGCAATGTTATACGCTTGAATATGTTGTAAATATTGTTCAAGAGAACCGGCTTTTATAAGGTTTTTTTTTTTCGAATCAATATAATCCTGTAAAGTTTCCTTTGTTATAGGAAAGTAATTTATTGATTCACCTGGATGTAAACTCTTTATCACATTTATAAAATTAGTCACGCCAACTCTCGAAGCTCTCGTATTTATGCTTGGACTTCTTTTACCACGTCTATTACGATCTTTATCAGTTAGTAACAATGAATTTGATTTATCACTTTTTGTTGACGAATGATCCTCTTCGCCTGAAGAATTAGCATTTGGTTGGTGCTGTGAAGAAGGTGAAGTTTGATGTTCTCTAATTGGCGGCATACTTTAGAAAGTGAAAGGAAAAAGTTCACGCTTTTTTTTTTTAAAGAGTGTGTAATGAATCTTATATGATGGGATCGTGCACGAGCTGAAATAGCCATGGTATGAAACAATGGCCTGGTTTTTATGCAAATTTTTGATTGAATATTTGAAAGCAATATTCTATTCACATCCAAATATGAAATATGTGATTTAATTTTCAGCTTTATAAAGTGCATACAAAAATTATACACTAACAATAAAATCGGCGTTTAATCACATATTATATTACTCACTAAAGTAAAGCCAAATTACTATATTAATTTTCAACCCCAGTATATTTTAATGGCGTATTTTGCTTAGTAATTGATCCCGGTAAATTGATAGATAAGGATTGACCTTGTTACACAGACAGTCCTCGGTTAACTGGAACAATACACATTACATATACACTGACCTTTCAAATGGTCATTTGCTGAGGACAATAATTAGGAAGAATAGGATCGTAAGCATTGTATGTATTAAATTCAATTGTTACTTAGGCAGTATCCAAACCATTTTCTCTTCCCTTGTAAAGGAATGAATGATGAATTTTTACATTGTTATGTAAAATTGTCTTATCATTAATTATCCCCCAGTAAATAAAATGTTCACAATCATTTCAATTATTTTTTGTGAAAATTTCGGAATATTCATGCATCATGACATCGAAATTTTCTTTCTTTACTACTTCTAATACCCCCCCACCTTCTTTGAAATGATCATGATAAAAATAGATTGCATTAATCATTACCGACCAAAACTTTGTTGACCAGATAAAGTTCACAATATGAAATTATTTTGAGGATATAGAATTGAAATTTCTCATCGTTCATGGTTGCATCGGTGTCACTTTTAGAAAATACGTACGTAATATACGCGTCCATTTAGTGTATGACCCATTTATCATTTTGTAATCAATTTCTCTCTCGCATATTTTTTTTTTTATTGTAAAACTTACCAATTTGAAATCATTTATATATATAATTATATATATAAAGAGAGAGATCGATCATTTATTCATTATCCTTTAATGTCAAAATCTCAAAATCCAATTCGGCATTTAGCGAAATAATCTTAACCAAACTTAGCGTAATCGCTATTAATTTCGTTTTTTTTTTTAAAAAAAAAAAAAATAAGAGGCTAAACACTTTAATTTATCTTAATTAATTAATATGATTATAGGCTAAATAAAACTTGAAATATATAAATATCAAAATTTACCTATTTAAATCTATTAAATTTTTAATTTACTACTTTGATTACAAGGGATTGTTGATCCCTGTTACCTAAAATTAGCATTTTTAAAAAATAATTCTTAATAAAGAAAATTAATATAACTTAGAATGAATCATAAATTAATTACCTAAAGTAAGAAATAATTATATTATCAAATGATTAAGCAGCGAATTTTTTTTTTTTTTTTTTTTATGTTCTATTTCTTTCCTTTTTTTTTAAAAAAAAAAAAATATTTGCCCCATACTTAAAGATCAAAAAAGTCGAAATTGTTTGATTGAAAATGGATCGAAAATTCCGACGAACAGTAGAACACTTCTTGCATTTCTAGAAAGAGGATTCCTTTAGAAAGGCACTTTGTGATATTGAAAAGGAAATATTAAACAAAAAAAATAGTTTCATAAATGTCTCCCATTAATCTATAACCGAATAATCAATCGCTTAAACCCTTTAAAAATCGGCTGATATTTATTTAATCAATCAAATTGCCGTTTAAAGAGGCACCTTTACCTACTTGCGTATATTAAATAAATAAATAAATCACAATCACTTAATAAGAAATATCCTGCGTAACGGTAGATATTACTTACTACTTACATACATTAATGAGTAAATTAAAAATAAATCTTTTATGCATTTATTTTATTTATTTTTATTTTATTTTTATATTATTTATTTATTTTATTTTTTTTTTCTTCTATAAAAAAAAGGGCAGCGCTTTTGTTTTTCTCAAGCTTTTGTTACTTTATTATGAGTTACCCGATCCCAACGGAAAGTAAACATTAAAGCCAATCTTTTTTTTCATATTATTCAAAAGTGGTAGACAGCAAGTTTCCTAAATCATTTGAGGATTTTTCTTTTTTTTGATTTAATTAAAAAAACAAACCTTAACTTTGATTGATATAACTAATAGTAATCGTCATTTTTTAAAAAAAACGCGTTTTTATCGGAATTATAAATCCGAAACCGAACAACTGATCCTTAAATAATCATGGACAGATTATTTTTAAGCATATTTAACGGAGTACATTTGCCGAATTATTATAGCCTTCCCGATATTATGTGCCGTATGGTTAGCTTTGTGCACGCGTTCAAAATTAACAACGCGTTTAACTATTACTTAAGCGGAAGGTATTTACGTAAATAGATAAACCTTGATAAAAATCCAGACCATACAAAATTCCGATCGAAATATACAATAATATAATAGAATGTAATGGACTTTCATTTGTACTTGATAACAAGACCAAGTTTGTCACATCTTTGCATATTTGATCATAAGATGTTTAATGTATTGGGATATGCGGTGAAAATTTTAGTTATCCATAATTAATATAATTAATATAGTTAATAATTAATATAAATTTGAACTATCAATATATAAAGTTAGGTTTTAAAAAGTATGTCCGTCGGGAAATAACGAATTACCGCCGCATTTGTTGCTCGATTAATGTATTAATCATGACCAATCATACTTGATTATTTATTTTTGTTTGTAGCAAACTAATCAAACATTAAACATTTTGTAGGTCTCAAAGAATTTAGCAATTTAGCAACTCAAATTTCCTTATTGTGTAATAAACACACATTCAGGAACGCAAATCAATTTTAAGCATAGTCGTTACTATTTATTAAACGTACATATCATATATGGTAGTTGATTTGATATCTGCAAATTTATTTATTTTTCTGGAAAAAAATATATATTGAACCAAACAATGTAATCAAGAAGGTGGTGATAATAATTGTGTCTTTCAACGAACAATGCCTAATTTAAAGTTACATTCGAACTTTTTGTTACACCATCACAAACACTTATTCTTTTTCTTTTTTACGCGTTTTCTACATCATTACAGTTGAATCTTTTTTTTTCCCCCAAGATATTCGACTTCGTTTTCTCATTATGTTAAACCGAATGTATGCGTTATGCACCCTTCATTGTGTAGTACAATATTCTTCTTCACAATTTTGGCAATAAACGTCTTTTTTCTTTTTAACTCACATACAATCCAAACTCTTTTTAGTTCTTACAAGAAAAAATTTTTTTGGGTTACCTTGCGGCTATGGTTTTTCATTCAATGATGTTATCAAATATGTCCTCCCTTCTATTTTTTTTCCCATGTTGTTTATTTGGAATTCATCCATCTTTCATATTGTATGTTTGACTGACAATTGCGATATCCATTGTAGAGTTACCGAGTCATCGAGCGGTTTTTTTTTTGGTTGAAAAATTCAATTTATCTAAATTACTCGAGTAACATCCCCATCATGGTAGAAGTTCAATGTAATTCAATGACAATATAACTATAATCATTATCGCATCTATTGTAATGAAAAAAAAATCGTAATGAAGATACAAAATAAACATTAGTACGAATGTAATGAATGTAATGACATATGATATCTTTACGAATGCGAAATCAAAGATCATTTATTTTTTTTTTCAATCAGTCGTACCAAAAATATACCAACGATTGTATTGTTTAACGATACACTTTTTTTCTTTTTTTTTTTTGATCTGAATCTAACTTTATTATTTTTGTATGCGCTTATGATATTGTTTATATCGAGAACGTTATCAATTATTCCCGAAAGGTCACAATCTTTTTTTTTCTTTTGAAATTTTACCAACAATTATAATTGCTTTAAAATGAGGTCCCTGAAGGTTACGCAATTTACGGCCAAATTATTTGTTGTTAGTATAACCATGCATAAATCGATTATAAATTGTATCACTGTAATAGCGAAAATAGCGAAGGTGCATGATTGATCTACAATGACTTATTTGACAAGTTTACATAATAATGGATGCACGTCGGTATTTCTGAATTAAATATGGTAATTTCAATAAAGAGGAGTGATATTGAGATACCTGTATTGACAACACTTTTTTTTTGATTGATACTAACTACTAAATGCATTTATATATGTTTACATAAAAAAAGATCCAATTAATCCAATAATAGAGAGAGAAATTTAAAGTTTCTCCTCATTTTCATTTTGGATCCTTTATGGTAAAATTTGATGGCTTAAAGTTATTGCATTCAAATCTCCCCAATCTACATCTCTTTTTTTAGTTATTTTTTTTTGGCAAGATTATGATTTCATGATTAGGTCGATGATTACTCACGTTTTTCAATTTACACATAAACAAAAGAACTCTGTTTATAGTTAAAATAATGATTAAATGGAACTTTGACAGATAAAATCTCCGGTTCAAAAATACTCGGGTACCTCAATCTAATTATCGAAATTAATGTAACGATAATAAAAAACAAACAAAAAAGTTCTTGGCGTAGTCCCCCATTTCATTTTACCATAAATAAAAAAAGAAATTGGTAAATTTTCTCACCCCCTTAAAATTACATAATGATGAAGCTAGACTTTTTTTTTTTAAGGTTGGGTGAAGTGATTGCTTCCAGATATCACACTTATTACCTAAAAAATTTGTTCATACTCGGGCATACCAAATTTATTTTATTTTTTAAACAAGTTTTTAATGTTTATTTTTTTAAATTAAATTAAAAAAAAAAAAAAGTAAAAAAACATGAAAATATATAAAAAAAAAAATTGCATCTTAAATTATCATCTTAATTATGCATAAATATTGATATAATAAGGTCATTTGCAGGATCCCCATGCACCGTAATGAAGACCCCCGAATTTTTTTTTTAATATCTACATTTTTAGATTCCAATAACCTACGGGAATAATTCCTTTTAGAAGGAAAAAGAGTGATGACCCTCCCC